AGAATTCGTTGTCCATCGAATTCAGATTATTCGGCTTCGCTGTTTAGGGCATGTACTACGCATGCCCAGCTATCATCTAATGCACCGCGCTTTATTCGCCGTAACCGTTCCGGGCTAGAGGGAACCACGTGGACAACAGATGATGTGGGGACGAGGTGTCAATAAATGCACAGAGCAATTAAGTAGAGTAGGTGTTTCGTGCCTTCCAGGTTGAATTCCGAAAGACTCCGCAACTGGTTGGTTGGAGACATGAAGGGATATGGCAGCGAATCGACAGAGGTAGCGTTATTGTTGCCATTTTTTATCAGGCCAGAATGTTTGAAACCGTGTGTACGCAGAGTTCGATTGTGCACTGTGTTGGCCGTTGTTATTACTAAACCAACGTAACCAATTACACAGGACTGACAAATGACTGACATATGAACAAAAAATCTGCAGGATGTGTTCGTAGGTTGTGTGGGCGTGTTACTTCCCGGATATCCAGACCGAGGGGGGATAACCTCGGAGTCCCCACCCGAAGCCTTTGGCCGGAAACACAAACCTGCAGGACAACAAGATGGAGCTCAGAGTTTGCAGTCCATGGGGGGCCGATGTCCAGTTCACTGGATCATACGCCCGTTGGACGGAGTCAAACGTCCAAGGTATCCAATTCACTTTGATGCCCAATCGAGCTAGTGACCACTGCCACAACCAGGTGTGCGTGGTTCGTACGCCTCCTCTTGGTTGATTTGGAACCGTGGTTTTTATCCAACTACCCCAGGTGAGCTGACAATGGTTCACCAGCCCGGTTATAACCCGATGTTGGCTTTCCGACCTCTCACTTCGGTGAGAAAACGCCGCCGCGGGAAGACTGAGTGTAAGGCTTCCTCAGCAGAGGCTATTTGAGACGCTTGGTCATATAGGAGCAGTTTGCGAGGTGTAGGGGAATGGTGACTAGCCACACCCAGAGACACCCACCTCCACCATACAGAGGCTTTCGGAAGCGTGTGTTGACCACAGAGGATCACCTTACCCCTCTCTCAAAATAGGTCCAATTCCTGTCCACCTTAAGTATTATCACTGATGTCGTATGCATTGCGAGTTTGGCAGTGATCAATAAATTTTGCTTCACTGTAATTCGCAGTACGATGATGATGATGACATTTGGGGGTCTAGCGAGGATAAATTTATTTTTGTATTACACTGACATAATACATTGTATGTCACTTTTCTGACTCATGTCTCCTCTTCCCTTTTCAGCCTCCATATGTCCGGTGAATAAAGCCTAAAGTTTGGGCCTTCCTCGTGCATCCTGCATCAATACCACAATGTATTCGACATACAGCGATGGATCCAATATTGCACCTCGATTAGTTCGACGTTGAACCTAGCTCACCAGATGTTACCAGGCACTGGAACCATTGGCACAGGACTTTCCTCAGCCTCCTCAATTCAGAGTATAATTCAAAACCTGATAAACTGGTTATGATGATTTCATACATATCACTTGCTGTCTACGAACATGTGGAATGTGAAACCTATGAAATGGCAATGGAGACGCTCAGTAACCTCCGTGTGCGCCCAAAACATGTGGTCTTTGTCCGTCATATCCTCGCCACAAACAGGACACTGGGCAAACTCTTGATCAGTTCATTTGGAAGTTAAAGCCCCCAGCAAGAGATCGCACTTTCAGGTTCACTACTCCCGAGGAAAACCGAGACGATGCTCTCCGAGATGCATGCATTAGTGGAATTTAGACAACACCTACTGAAAAATAGTTCGCTGAACTTTTGAAAGGCCTCCGATCAAGCGAGAGCCCTAGAAATGGAAGAGCAACAATCCAAGTTCTATCAGGACTTTCCCACCACATTCCACACGACGGCTACACACTCAATCCATCCACTTCTCCCTACCCCGCAAGTTTCTGATTATGCTAAACTCTTGTTTGTTGTTTCACATCACTTTGTAATCGTCCCCCTAAATTTCTCCTCATCCCTTTTCAGCCCTGACGTCCATTTGTATGTTGAATAAAGCCTAGATATCGGGTCTGTCTTCTCTCCGTTCAACGGCTGCTACAATCGTCTCTCGCATCACTAATAGAGTGCTTTTACGACAGTATCATCGCAGTAGTTCGCCCTAAGTGCTTTTTTTCTGTAGCCTCGACAAGCACTCTCGCTCGGGGTGTCCCGTAAGAGATCATCTTTGCAACGGTTGCGATAAAAAGGGTCACTTCAAAACCAACAAAGTCACACTACCTTTGTCGCTTGTCCATCCATAGCAGCAACTATCGTGGCTGACTCTCCTACGTGCTTCCTAAAACTTGTCGCGGATCTCGAGGTCAATGGAGTCCCTTCTCGTGCTCTGATTGACACTGGGAGCTCAGCAAGCCACGTTTCTGAGGGTTTAGTATTCACCAATTTTTTTGTACACATTTGTGTGGTGAACAGCAGACGGGGCGAACCCCATAATCACGAAGACCCACTGCTCCGTCATGGAAAGCGGCCACCTAAGCTCCGGGACTTGGAGTGGCGAACCACATAAGGTCCCGCTAGGTTCGGCGTGGTTTTGAACTGGACGACAGCAAAGCTGTCTACCAACAACGGTAGGTGTCGGGGCTCGAACCAATAAGTGGAAGATATTCCCATCCAAAGAAACCATCACAATGGCTTTAAGTTCCCTATCCAGCAGTACAAGGGGCCACTGTTTTAACTCCATCAAATAGAAAAACCATGTCTACGAACGTTTCAAGCTATGTATACTGAGTGACCTATGTTCGTTTGATCTCCTGGGGTATGATTTCCTCGGCCTTCACAAGAGCGTTCACATGTCGTTTGGCGGAGAGAAGATTCCGTTTACGGTCTGCTCACTCAGATTTGCTTCCAGTGTTTCTACCACTTTTTCCAGAATCTGTCCATATACTGTCGATAAAAGTCCCGACAATACAGCAGGGAAGATTAGACATTCATATCCGAAGAAATAAATCGACTCCTGCCTGACGGTATCATTGAAGCCCCCACCTCGCCGTGGCGTGCTCAAGTGAGGATGTTTATGAATGAGAACCACAAACGGAGAATAGTGGTGGACTATAGCCAAACAGTCAACAACTTCAGCAGCTTGGACGCATATCCACTTCCCAGAATCGACGACATGAGAGAGAACATAACTAGACCTCAAAACTGAATACTATCAAATCCCTATTCAGGAAGAAGAATGCTTACTGTTTCTGAGACATGTGGACATTTATATAGGTTTCGTCGTATTCTCTTCGGAGTTACCAACGATGTTTCGTGTTTCCCGAGGGCTATCGATGAAATAATCTATCCTGAAAACTTGAGAGACGTGTATCTACGTGGATAACATTACTGTTTGTGGGAGAAGAGCAACTGAGTATGACTGTAACCGAAGGCTGCCAAAAAATATGGCCTGACTTTTAACGACGACAAAGGCACCACAGGCGTGAAGGAAATTAAGCTACTTGGTTTTCAGCTAGCGAAAGGCAACATTAGGCCGGATCATGATGGGTTGAAGCCGTTGCAAGAAATACCCCCGCCGAAAAAATTTGAAATCACAATAAAGGATCGTGGGTTTATTCTCTTACTACTCGCCATAGATTTCGAACTTTTCCGACAAAATACAATCATTGGTACATAACCAAACCTTTCCGATAATTCCGCATGTAGAAACAAAGCTTCGAAAGTCTCAAGCACAAACTGGCAATGGCGAGCCTGGCGACCATTCACTTTAACATCCCGTTTGTCATCGAAACTGATACCTCGAACGTGGCAATCACTGTTACGTTGCTACAGGAGGGACGTCCTGACGCTTTCTTTTCTATGAACTTAACTCAAGGGGGGAAACCATTCAGCAAATGAGAAAGAAGCGTACGCCGTAGTCAAAGCCGTCCGGATATGGAGTCACATGCTACTCGGCAATCATTTCAAACTCATCACCGATCTTCTTCATTTTCACAAAGCAGCACCGTGGAAGGGTCCGGAGTGGAAAAACCTCCGATGGAAAATGTAATGTCCCCTACAGCTTCGATGTTGTGTGTAGACCACCATGGAACTGTTTGTTGAGGAATGGAGTACCTGAGAAGTATGTCGATCCTCAAAGAGTTGTAACGTCATACCTCAAGTCAGGTTAGGGCCTATGGCCAACTTTCGCCACCCTTCGCCGTCTCCAGTGGAGTTCGGTAATGCTGCCCTACATACCCATTCCTTTTCAAATTTATCACAGGGAATATTCTACGGGATGCTTTGTCCGGTGTAGCAAATGGTGGGGTTGAACTCCTCTCGAAGCGCAGAGTCCTTGACTTAGAATATGCCGATGACATCGCCTTGCTGGGTGACAACACAGGCAGTCCAAGACGCTTTGAACCGCTTGGCGAACGAGGTATTCAGATATAGTATGTGCTTTGCGCCTTCCAAGTGCTTTTNGCAGGAGCCTGTGCCTTCACTCACCCTCTGTGGTGATCAGCTGGGAGTAGTTGAAAGCTTTAAGTACCTCGGGAGCTTGATCGCAGCGAAGGCTAGAGCAGCTTTCGCCAACCTGAGACACCTGTGGCGCCGCCATGACATCCGACTGTCCCTTAAGGGAAGGGTGTACACTGCCGCGGTTCGTAGCGTTCTGCTTTACGGTTGCGAGACCTGGCCCCTCCGCGTTGAGGACGCTAATCGACTTTCTATATTCGACCACCGATGTCTCCGAAGAATTGCTCGTGTCTGGTGGGAACACCAAGTGAGTAATGACGAGGCTCGTTGTCGTGTTGGGTGCGGATAGTCGTTCTCCAACGGAAGTAATCGCTCTACACCGCCTCCGATGGCTTGATCATGTCTTGTGTATGCCTGTCCACTACCTTTCCGTGCTCTCTTCGCACATGCCGGGCAGACTGAAAGAAGCAGCGCAGCGATCAGACCATAACATGGAGTAGAGGCATGAAGAAGCTGACTTCGGTTGGTGCAGCCCGCCTTCCAGGTTGGGGCCCAAGGGATGAGGATATATATATTTATATTTAACACAGATCTTTATAGATAGATATACGGACGCTAAAATAACCACGGGTTTAACGCAAAATATAAAAGCAGGAGGAAGAAAGCAGTCAACTTGGGGAATAACAAATTTTGTTTGTTTACTGCACGTCATTTTGAGTTTTCTTTGTCGTTTGTTTTGGGGATCGCATGGGTGATGTTGCGCAGACAACGGTTGTTGAATATTGATAGTCGTTGGACACGATCTGCTCGGAGGCCAAGTTTCAGTCATTGAGCAACACGGCGGGTACCGTTGCGCAAAAAACACGCCCTTTTACTGAAAGGGATATGTTGCGCCGGCGCCATAGATGCCGCAGATTAGCAAACGCTAGTCTATCTTTGATCATGCGTTGAGAGATCTCCTCACCCACACCTCCGCCAGCCGTTATGTAACTCCCGAAGTAGACAAAGCTCTCGACTACTTCGAGGTTGTCATTAACCAACGAAAGTGAAGGGACAGGTTCCTGCCAATCTCGCAACACTTTACACTTTGAAGATGCAAGGGACATACCATAGCCAGTAGCCTCAGTTGCCAAAAGATTCAACGACTCCTGAATCGTCGGTGCGTCGTCACCCAGTAAAGCAATATCACCAGTATACTCTGTCCACAGAAAGAAACTCGACGCCAGCACTCGTTACGTTATGCAACGCGTTTTGAAGAACATAATCTATGGCAAGGTTTAAGAGAAACGGAGATATGGGGCGACCCTGCCGTACCCCCACAGTGACAGAAAATGAGGGTAAAAGTTCACCATCGGCACTAACCTTCGACGAGCTCTGGCGATAGAGCGATTTTACGAATAGAACATACTTCTCAGGTTCTTCGTATCTCTGCAAACAGTTCCACAGCAAGGGGTGACCGACAGAGTCGGAGGCCGCTTCGATCGAAAAAAACGACAATAGTTTGCCGTCTGTATGCGTGGCGGCGCTCTAGTAGCTGACGGAGGGTGAAGATTTGATCTATGCAACCANGCACGAAACACCGCCTGCTCCTGGCGGATTTGCCTTCCACGAAATGGGTTTAGTCTGCGTAATTAAAAGAGGACGCTAGTAGTTTCGGCGCTACTGGAATCAGAATTACGTTGGAACAGGCGCTGCGACAGCCCATCTTGTAGATTTTTTTTATTACATCAGTGTGTGACGAACAGCAGTCGAGACGATCTACACATCAGAGTGGTGAACCACATTAGGCCCCGGTAGCTCAGGCATGGTATAGAACCGGGCGATAGCAAAGCTGCCTACCACCAAGGTTGGGTGGTGGGGGCGGGTGAGTGGGTGTAATAACCCATGCTCCCCAAGTGTGGGGTGCACTTTCGATTGCTCAGATCTTTGNGAGAACAGTCGCACAAGCTTCTCCGACATTTTTAAAGAGAGCAGGTGGCAGGCTGTCTGATCCAGCTGCCTTGTGGTGTTTCAGGGCTTGAAATTCCTTTCGGATTTCCTCGTCTGTGGGCGGTCCTGTGGACAGTGACCAAAGTGCACTCTCAAGAGAACTGCTTGAGGCAGGCAGCGCGAGGGGCTGGCTGAACTGCGATGTGAAGTGATCTGCTCAGCGTTCCAAGCGTCGGTATATATTAGTGTGCCGTCTACTTCACAGATTGTTTCACTAACGCAGTCTTTTGGGGCCCGTAGCACGAATGAGATTGAATAGTTGCCGGGTGTTTCCACACCTAGCTGCTGACTTTATCTCTTCTGAAGGAAGCGTCCACCAGGTTTCTCGGTCCTCTCAAACTCTGAGTTCACTCTTCAGAGGCGCTGCTTGCTATCCTCACTGTCCGCCGTAATTGGCAGACGCGTGTCAAGAAGTCAGAGAGTTGGAGACCGAGCGTTTTACAACTCGGCGGGTTAGACCACAACTGTGTAAACTGTTTGAGTGCATTGCCAGTGACATCGGCAAAACCACTGCGCTTCGCTTCACTGTATTTCGCTGTACGACGGTGATGATGGTGATGTGCACTCTATGTGTTGATCAGAAGTCCACTTCTTTTGCCGTTCGTAGAAACAGGCCCAATCCCTATCCTCCTTACATTCTTATTTACCCTGTGTGTATTATGGGTTTGGCAGCGATCAGTGAAGGTTGCACTACTGTGATATGCTGTACGATGATGATCTTGGGCTCAACAAAAGCCATCCTGTGCTGCTGGTCGGGTCGCAGAGGTGCATAAGCCATCACTCACGTTACCTGCAGTCGAAACAAAAGGTTTTGTCTATTGTCTCAGCATATGCACCGACGAACAGCAGTTCTGACGTACATAAAGACGATTTCTGCGACAAACATCGCCGAACACATTCGGTTTAGCCGAAGGTCCGACATAATTGTACTTGCAGGTGATTTTGACGAGCAAGTTGGAAAACTGAGCGCATCGGAAGCCTACCTCGGCGGTCGTCGTGCTCTATTCTACAAAGAACAGATAACGGCGATCGACTTCTTCAGTTCTGCACAGACCATCATCTGTTCTTATTCAGCACCGGCTTCCGACACAGCACTTGAAGGGCGGCTACGTAGAAATCCAATTCGAATGATACGATAACTCAAACCGACCACATAGCCGTAAGGTGCCGTCGGCGTGCAAAAATGCACATCCCATTGGAACATCTGCTTTGAGTCCGATCACGCATTAGTTTTGATGCTGTTCACCCTCTGACTCACTGACCGGCGACAACAATAGCAAATTAAGTTAGTTTATTATCGCTTGTCTGTTCCAGCAGTTCGTACACGCTGCGAGTCACAGCTAGTGCGTGAGCTAAGCGCGCTTCAACGTGATGATGTGGATGAGTAGTGGGATCATATTAGCAGAGCAATGCATTCCTCGGCGAATGTTGCTTGCTGGTCTGAGCCTCAAACTCGACGGAGGCATTGGATATCTCATGCGTTAGTAGCGCTAGTGGATAAAAAACGACAAATCCCGACATGCCAGGATCAAACCAGGGTTAGGTGACATCTGCAAGGTCAGCTCCCGAAGAGCCTAAAGGATGACGAAAACCGGTGGGTAACAGTAGCTAGAGAAATAAAAGTAGCCGATAATTCGGAGAATATTGAAAGACTGTTCCAACTGATACGCAATTTGGGAGATCGGCCAACCAGCCAGTGAAAAAGTCTGCGATAAAATAGGGTAACCTATGCACAATAGAAAACAACGGCTTGATCTCTGGTGGAATACTTCAACGAACAGTTCAGTTGGCTTGGAGCTAACAAGTTTATCTCATTTGCAACTGAAGCTCCTTCGGCGATTGTCGTGTATAACACTCCTTGTCTACTGCATATCGCTGTATTCATAACATTTCCCTTTTACACGTTTTAGCCTATATGCCAGGGTTGTTAGACGAATAAAGCCTTACATCTCTGGGCTCTCAATCTTCTCGCTCTCCCGAGCAACTACCGACTGTTGTCTTCTCGTATTCAATACATAACAATTTATTCGTCTAAACAATGGATCGGCCTTATCGACCGGAACGCTTCGACGCGGATCCAAGTTGTCCCTCAGCCGCGAAAGTCTGGAATCATGGGCTTCGCATATTCACCTTGTTTATCGCCAGAGCTGCGAAATCAGATGACGAAAAGCTAGAGCACCTCATTGGATGCGTTTCTCCCACCGTTTACGAGTATATTACCGAGAGTGAAACGTTCCAATGCGCTATGACGATTCTAGAGAAGCTTTACATGAAACCGAGGAACGAGGTTTTTGCTCGACACACACTGTCTACCAGTAAACAGGAAGCAGGTCTGAGTCTTGATCAGTTTATGCAGAAGCTGAAATCACTTGCAAAAGACTGCAAATTCGTAGCCGTCACGGTCGAGCAAAACCAAAACAGCGCCATATGAGATGCTTTCATTAGTGGAATGCAGTCCAGTAGCATCCGCCAACGCCTCTTGGAAAACCGGACACTGGACCTA